TGTCGGTGGAGAGGAAGGTGCGCGCTTGTTCAGAGGCGGTCCTGGCGGAGGCGCACGCCGACGCGCAAGAGGAGGAGATCCAGGGCGGTGCAGCTGCAGGCCAAGAACATGCTGTTCGCTAGCATCAACCAGGAGCTGCGTGGCAAGGTGCGGACCTGGCCCGTGCCCGGGTCTCGCCCCACACCAGTAGAGCGAGTGCGCGCCCGTACTTGACGCACGCATCCCGTCCCATCGCAGGTGGAATCGCTTGAGGCGATGGTCGAGTCACTGAACAAGATGGTGGCCTCCCCTTCCAAGGCCGGCCGCAAGTGGCGTTGATGCGATTCTGGACGAGATGTGGAAAGCATTATCGGCCCTCAGAGATGAACCCGCAGGCGGAGAGATGTCGCCGAGGGTCGGGAGTCGTGGGTCCGCAGAGACGTCCGGAAGCCGTGAGTCGAGCAGGGAGACGTCCGGGAGCCAGTGAGCAGAGGCTGGGTCCTCCCTGGTTGTTGTAAAGTTTGCTGCGCGAGAGCTCCGACCTGGCCAGGTCGTCAAACTGACCCTAGGAGTAGCACATGACAGACTCGCACAGTAGGTGCTAGACTGATGACTCCCCTCGACCCGAACCTGTCAAGTCGTTATACTCTAACCTGCTCAAGTGGACTGTGACGACTGACGTGTGAGCCACCGCTGCGCCCAGGGCACTAAAATTCTTTTTGGATTTTCCTCTTTTCACATTGGACATCCCGTGGCTTTTGGGCACACCTCTGGTGGTGCAGCGCACTCTGCGCAGCGCCACCGGCGGTGCGTCGGAGTGGCGGCCGCCACTCGCGTGGTGCGTTGAGGCATCTCCAGAGAGCCCTTGTCACCACCGGCGGCCGCCTCAACTCCCCGAGCGGTGCCGGCTGGACCCCGGCACGCGCGGCAATTTCCTGCGCGCTTTGCGCAGAGCCACAGCCCCTGGGCTAGCTGGTGGCGTATACCCACCTCAAGGCCGGCGCGCACGCGCCGGCGATGGACAACGCCACCGGCTCAAGGGCTCGCACTCTCCTCACCACCGCGCGCGCGCTGCAGCAGGAGTACCGCATGCCGCACTGCGACATCATGCCGCGCTGCGACAAGATGCCGCAGCTGCACCGCTTCTCCTGGGCAGCCATCGAGTACTCGATGGCCCACTCCGAGGGCGCGGTCAGCACCGCGCCGGATCTCTTCTGAGAGCCGGCGCGGATCGCGGATGCGACTCAAGGCTCCGCCGGCGGATCTGTGGCCTGGCGCCTGCCAGACTGCGGGTCCAAATACCCCGGCGCTCGCGCGCGCCACCGCCCCCGGCGCGGGGTGGGATGTCAGTTCGTGAGTCCTGTGTCCCCGTCCCTGTGCTCCACCTTCTTCTCCCGTGTCGGTCCCTGAGAACCCCACTATACAGCGCCACCTCGTGAGCTGTTCTGTGAGCTGTGTGCTGTGTGTCCAGCAGTCCGGACCCGGTGCTACGGCCGGTGACAGTGTGCCTCGTGTCGGCTCCCGAGCCAATCGTGTGCAGCGTGTGTGTGCGTGTGGGCCCGTCCTCCATGCTAGGAGGTGTGTAACACTGACTGACTGACTTTCAAATTGCGGTGTGGAGTTGGGGGTCCGGTCCAGGTCCGCGGTCGGGTTCGGCGTTCGGGTTAGGGTTAGGGTTACGGTTAGGGTTAGCAAGGGTTAGGGTTAGGGTTAGGGTTGGGTTAGCTTAGGGTTAAAATTAGTCTTGTTGTGTCTGTATATGCCAGCGTTGCAGGGTTCTGCGCTGAGGTCTGGCCCCAGCGCCGACGAGTAAGATTCAGCCCCGTACGCTGACCTAGGGTTAGGGTGTTAGGGTGTTAGGGCTAGGGTTAGGGTTAGGGTTAGGGTTAGGGTTAGGGTTAGGGTTCGGGTTAGTCTTGTTGTGTCTATATGCCAGCGTTGCAGAGTTCTGCGCTGGGATCTGGCCCCAGCGCCGACGAGTAAGACTCAGCCCCGCACGCCGACCCCACCAAATGCCGCCTCAGGGTGCCAGCCACCTCTTACACGCGGGGCCGGCGCCCTCTCGCGGCAAAAGGGTCAAGCGAGCGGGAGAGTCGCGATGTCTGCGCACCCGCGCACCCGCGTGCCGATGGGCGGCACACGCGGCTGAGAGTGGCCCTGTCACGCCGCCAGTAGCGTTCCGCACTCCCCACGCCACCAAATGCCGCCTCAGGGCGCCAGCCACCTCTTACACGCGGCCGGCGCCCTCTCGCGGCAAAAGGGTCGAGCGAGCGGGCAGAGTCGCGATGTCTGCGCACCCGCGTGCCGATGGGCGGCACACGCGGCCGAGAGAGGCCCTGTCACGCCGCCAGTAGCGTTCCGCACTCCTCACGCCACCAAATGCCGCCTCAGGGCGCCAGCCACCTCTTACGAGGCGGAGCGCGGGTGCCGCGTATAGTCCGTTTCCGGTGGCCACTACCGGGCTCGGTCCCCTCGGTGCTCGCTGCGGTCGACTCGGCGGACCGGGCGGCGCGCGAAGAGCACATTGCGCGGGCCAAGGCATCGTCGCGGGCCTGTCGCGCGCTCAACCTGGCCAAGAAGGAGGGACAAGTAGGCACCAGATATGGCCTGAGACGGGTCTTCGAGCAGGAACGCAGGCCGTTCATGCTCGCCATCAAAGCAGCTGCGTCATCCGGCGGCCGCCTGCGCTAGAAATGATCGGCACCAGAGCCGGGAGGTGCGCGCGGTCGGTCGCGGGGGAGCGCAATGCGATGGCCTGAGCGAGGACGCCTCTGTGCGCCCGCGCGTTAGCCATGTCTGGGGAGGTGAACGCGTCCTGTTGAGTGGTGGGATGTCGTGTTAGGGTGCCCACAGGGCCCAAAAAAAGAAAAGAAAAAAGAAATGGGCGACCCCAGATCGCAGCACTTCGTGTTGGCCAGTCGAGATATTGAGAGTGTGACTAGGAGGGAGGGACGCTGGGGATTCTCAAAGGTATACCCTTGGAATGGCCGGATCCAGCCTTAAAGTACGAGATCGCGCGCGCTTCGCGCGCTGCACCGCCTGTTCTCCGCGGCTGAGTGACGACGCGTGCCGTGTGCCACCAGAGTTGAGCGCGCGCGGCGCGACGGCGCCCGCGAGGGAAGGCGCGGGTTGTTTATTTATTTATTTAATGGGACAGGGTAGTCGTTCTCTCTAGCTCCCCTTCTAGCTCTTAGCATGAGCTGCGCCCTGTGTCCGACCCCTTTTGCGCAGCAACACCTTAAACTTTTCAGGCCCTCCAAATTCGGGTCGGAGCGTAGCGGAGTGGGCCCCGAGTTTGAAAAAGGGCGACGGACGCTTGCGTCCTAGCCTCCAACAACGCCTCCCCGGCGCAGAGGGGCCCCCGGAGGGATGCACAACCGACCCGCGCCACGCCGCTTGCGGCGGTCCTCTTCCCAGCTCCGCTGAGTGCACTTGGAGCACTTGGAGTGCAGTCAGTAACCGCACATCCAGGGCCGGGGAGCTCATAGCGTGCGCATTTTTCTTTCCCTCCCGTACAGCTTGCAGTAACCACCCAAGACAGCTTGGAGAGCTCCCGGTAACGCTACATTTCGTAACGATGGTCGCTATTGGCCATCTGCCTCCTGCAGCCTCTGTTGGGGTGGAATGCGCGGGGTTTTCGGCGCGATGCCTCCGGCGAGTATACGGCACTGCTCTGCCGCAAGCTCTCCTGCGCGCGCGTGACGTGTGGGGCGCGTGCACTGCGCTCGAAAGTCGCGATTTGGCAATAGGCGCTCGAGCCGGCGCGCAGTGGAAGGGGGCGCCGCGCAGGGGGGTCGGGGGGGGTGCGAGGGGGGGCGTGGGTCGGGCGCGCACCGGCCGGCTCCGAGAGCGGCCGTCACGTCGAAGAGGGGGGCTGGTGCTGCTCGAATGACGACGCATGCCGCTCTGCTGCGCCGCCGATAGCCCCTCTTCCGAGCCGGCGCGTGGCGGCGAGCCGCGGCCAGTGTCGCTGGTGCGGGGGCGGCGCAGCGTGCATCGGCCGCCGGCGAGAGCGGCCTTCACGTCGATGAGGGGGGTTGTCGGCGACTCGTGTGGCTCGAGGCCTACGGAATGCTGCGCCGCCCGGAGCCCTACTGCCGATCCAGCGCCTGGCGTTTGGGGCGAGCCGCGGTCGTCGTCGCTGATGGTATGGCG